ATCATTTTTATTTTGGACCCATTTGTGTCAAATTATAAATCAGCGCTACACTTTTTAAAAACTAGAATCACCATTTCTATTTTCTCCATTTCTACTCATTTTTAAAATAAAATAACAAAGGAAAATTTCATAAAAGTCATGTAATTTACAAACATTGTAGAACAAAGATGACAATTATGTAGAAAGTATATATTGGCAAGCAGGTATACCGCCATGTTATGGCTAGGGATAATTGTTCTTTGGGAGATGTAAAAAAGTTCAAATTCAAAATACAAAAGATAGGCTGGGCGCGGTGGCTCATGCCTATAATCCTAGCACTCTGAGAGGCTGAGGTGGATAGATTGTTTGAGCTCAGGAGTTCAAGACCAGCCTGAGCAAGAGCGAGACCCCGTCTCTACTAAAAAAAATAGGAAGAAATCAGCTGGACAACTAAAAATATATATGTAAAAAATTAGCCAGGCATGGTGGCACATGCCTGTAGTCCCAGCTACTCGGGAGGCTGAGGCAGGAGGATCGCTTGAGCCCAGGAGTTTGAGGTTGCTGTGAGTGACGCTGACGCCATGGCACTCTAGCCCAGGCAACAGAGTGAGACTCTGTCTCAAAAAAACAAACGAACAAACAAAAATGCAAAAGATAGATTAGGAATATTACAGTATAACATTTGAAGAAATAAGAAAAATTTGAAGATGTTGAAGAAGAGGGAGGAGAAAAGAAAGCAGCAGTGACAACAAAAGGAAAAGGAGATGAAAAAGAAGATCAGAAAGGAGATGAAGAGCAAAACAAGAAGAGAAAGGAGAAGATGGAAAAGAGGACAAAGATGGAGAAGAAAAAGGAGAAGATGAAAAAGAGGAAGAAGACCAAAGAGACAAAGGAGATGGAAAGGAGATTGAAGATGGAAAAAAGAGAGAAAAGAGAAGGGAGATAAAAATGAGAAAAAAGATGGAAAAGGCAAAAAGGGAAGACGAAGAGGAGGAAGATGGAAAGGAAGAAGGAGGTGGAAGTGATGAAGAAGCTAGAAAAGAGAAAGTAGATGGAAAAGAGAAGGAAGAAGGCAAACAGATTAAATCAAAACCAAAGGCAGATTATTTGCAAATGCTTGAACTAAGTAATAGATTATGCATTGTGCATGTGAGTATACAGTCTTAATTCTGTATATCATTACATATTACATACATTTGTTAAATATTTTATGTTATAAATATGCAAATGTACCTGTGAACATAGTAAGTTACCCCATCACTCATCTGGGCCAAGGGAGAGTAGGGTGTTATTGACACTTTAGAATTGTGAATCAAAAATGGTGTGTTGAAAGTAAAGACTTAAAGGTCCTTCATTTATTCCAGGGATACTTACAGGGTGAATAGTTTACTGTTTCACCTGTTTAGTCTTTGAGTGTTTTTACTTTAACCCTCTTGGGGTGAGAGGAACAGCTACTTAATAAAAAGTAAATGTTAATATAATACTAACAGTTTTAACAACAGGGCGTAAATACTTCCGTCATTAGTTACATTTTTGTTACCTCTGAAATATTATGTCATTAGTTACTATTACCATTTCTGCAGCTAGCAGTCAGGACATTTGTAGCTTTTTATATTTTTCCCCTCTAGATTGTGAGCACCTTGAGGAAAGTATGAGTCCTGTTTTTGTTTCTTTGTGTTATTTGTCACAGCGCCTGGCACTGTAGATTTTTAAGGAATGATAATTAAAGGAAAGAAGGAATGGAGACTTATTCTTGTAATTCAGTTGTCTTTATATTATTTGTGATGTCATTTAGTAGCATACATAGAATAATCACTGTGGCATCTTTGTGGTGTACAGGAAAAAAATAATGAATGGAACACTTGAAAATCTAGGCATCCTACCATTAGTCTACCTAGCTAAAGCTTCAGCTAAAACCATTGTTCTCAAGGTACAGGTGTTCTTAACAGCTAATCCATGTTGCCCTTCCTTCTCCATCTACTGCATAACCGGTAATTACAGTGTGGTATATATGTGGTAGGTTCGTGAGGCAAGAGTATATAGGATGTGATGTTGACTGGGCACCAAGTATTCAACATTGCCTCATGGACCCCCAGCTCACCTCGGTATGCTGTGAATATACTGCCTGTGCTCAGTCAAGTGAGCAGAATTTGTCTGCCTCTCAGATGAAGTGGCTTCTTGTGAAACCTGTGATGGTAAAGAGAAAAATTAGTAGTAGGAACCAGTAGAGGGAGAAGCAGATAGGCTGCAGCAGGTCACCTCAGTTTTCCTGAAGCTTTGGTAAACAGCTATGAATCTCAGTACATCCTGACCTTTGCTTTGGAGGAGGCTGGCAGAGGCTCCAATGGGTGACTGCTCAAGACTTGATAATACCAATTTCTTTTAGTCAGGTGGCTTAGATTTTGTCTGGAAGCCTTACAGCAATGAGAGGTCTCAATTACATAATTTCTTGGTTGCTGACAGTCTTTTATGGAATGGGGGAGGAGTGAATGAAACAGTGGTAGGAATTGAGTAATATTATATTGCGTAATAAAGTATTTTAAAATATTTATTGAACTGCCTTGTATTCTGTTAGTCTATAATTATATGTTCCTATTAAGTTTCTTTTTTCATTAACTACTAATGAAAATAGCTAATTTTATTGAGTAGTTACTGTAGTGTACTGTAGTGAATTCTCTTTATTCTATCACAATAACCTATGATCTAGATTTTGTCATCATCAGCTTGAACTCCATAGTGGCATATCTCTCACAAAAGTATAAACAACTTATTTTTATCCAACAGCTGTTTGTACATGCAATGAGTATTGCATGGAAAAAGTTGGGAGAGCCCCACTTCATGAGTTTGGAACAGGGGTTAGTCAGAGCTTGACTCATTATGCTATCTTGACAGGATACAACTCTAAGCTTTTAACCGGTAAAATCTTATAAAGTTGGATTAGGGGCTCTGGAAGGGGATAAGGGAGGACCAAGGAAGACCTTTGAGCCTTTTCTCCTATACCTCTTTTAAAAATCTTCTCCTGAAGAAAGGAATCAAAGATTGTGGGAGGCATGATACAATGTTACCCTTTTTTCATCTAATTTCTAAGTGTCCTAAAAAAACATAATATACACACTCTTCTTGAGCTGCTGTGTGAACATGAGACCATAGCTTGCATTTAACACTGAACTTTGCCTGTCTCCTAAGGGATAGGTAAATCATACTTTTCAGTGATTTTATTTGGCAGAAAGGGAAAGCAGTTGCGCTCTCTCTATATAAAGTAATGAATGATAAAGTTTTGCTTTAAATACATAAGTTATCAAAACTCACTGAGGCTAATTTAAGATTTTTGTGTTTCTTATGATACATACCTGAAATCAATAACTAACAGACTTTTTGTCTTTCAGAAAATAATATTTACAGTATATAGGTATTTGGCATATTTATATATATGAAAATACACATAAGTATGTATATTTTTGGTTTAGATTTAACATAGCATTTCTAGTCTTACATAAACTATAGTTATTTTTAGTTGGAATATACTATTGCCTCTTAGATTATAGAAACCACCTAAAATGTGACCTGAAAAAGGTAATGAAAAATGTTTGTAAACACATTAAAGATTAAAACAGTGGCTGAGTCCAGTGAAAGGAAGTGATCTTATAAATGGACTTTCATTACTAATTCATAAGTTATTGTCTTGCTGGGTTCTGAGTTTTAACAGCTGCTGATAGTTTAAAACTAATAGAAGCCTAAATAGCCCATAATAATTGAAGTATTCATTCTGTTTATGGATTGTTTCTTAATACAAACGCTGAATAACATTGTCTATTTTAAATTACCTCAAAGAGTCATTGTAAAAATGAAATAAGATAAAGTACATAAATATATTCTATAATCGTGAAAGGTGCTGTCTCTCTTGCTCTCTGTGTGTATCCACATGTAATATGAAATTATAAAATTATATATTATTTGGTAGTTTTAAGAGTCTCAAACGTCATTTAGATCCCGTGAATAAAATTCGTGACAATTTCTAAGTATATTGGACTGAAAAAATTAAGTTTGTATTATAAAAGAGTATTGTAAGACTATTTCAGTTGAATAGGAAGCCAAGTATTTTAGAAACAGATGTTGTCACATAAGCAATGCATGCATTAGTAATGTTATTTTTATGTATTATTTAATTAGGTACAAGGTCCTTTGCTAGTTGCATACTAGTAACACTTTGTCCATTTAATTAGTTTACTCTGTGTACTCTAAAATGAACTGCAGTTTCTTGAAACTATTCTAAAATTTAAATATTTAAGCTCTAAATTTAAATATCTTATTAATTCTTTGGCCCTTTCTGCGGTTAGTTGGGAGGAGAAATATTTTCCTATAATCACAGATGATAGTACTAGTTTTTAAACTAACTCAATTAAACAAAGGACAACAGTCTTTTCTTTGTTTCTCAGCAAAGCGCACATATTTTAGGTTTCTGCTTTTAAATATTATGTCTGAAACATCACATTAAAAGTATGTAGCCATGTTATATTACTCATTATTAAAATAATTTTAATAGTAATCACAATTTTTTTCTTTTAATTATATAAGGGGAAAATACACGTAAAAATATAAATAAAATACATCGATTTTCTCTCTCATTTATCTTGCACTGTACCAGATACTTAGGTGAGATATAAATAAATCTCCAAGTCCCTATCTTTGAGGTGCTTATGGCATTAAAAGTGGGATAAGAAATATTTTTAAAATAATCAAAAAACAATAAAAACAATATGTGAATAAATGCCAAAGAATGTGATAAAATTAGTGTCATAGAAAAGAGTGAAAGTTTTAAAAATAAATTGCCCGAAAGAAGTATGCTTATATTTTATGATGTTAGAAGGAATCAGTTGGTTTGATTACAAACTGTTTACTAGGATTTTGAACCAGGGACATCTCAATCTTAGTTCTGCTGACCTGTTGTTGAAGTCAAAAATCACGATCGGCTTATTACAGCACAGTGTAATAAGTAAAACACATATTTCCTTTATTTTCAGGCGTACTTCCGACAGGGTGTTGCCCTCCAGTACCTTGGACGTCATGCCGATGCCCTGGCAGCCTTTGCATCTGGACTGGCTCAAGACCCCAAGAGTCTTCAGCTTCTGGTGGGGATGGTAGAAGCTGCCATGAAATCTCCCATGAGAGGTAAATAAGATAAAAGCACTTGGTCTAACATTAATTCAAAGTAGAACATTTCTAGCCTTCTAAGACTTGAGGCTCAGGCACAGAGAACTGATAGGTTACAAATTTGTTAAGATTGGATATTTTAGACAAAGGAAGATAAAGAATCACTGTCAATAACTGATGTTAATGAGGCACAATAGTGTGGTGGAAAGGCCACTGGCCTGGAAGTTTCTGGCCCTAGATTATATTCTTAAATTTTTCATTAACTAAATGTATGACCATAGGTAAATGAATTGACATCTCTGCATTTTAGGGTTATTTAAATAATCCTTATTATTTTTTTTTTGTAGTTCTAAGATTTTGTAATTCTAAACCACAGCACCTCTAGTAGTAAATTGATTTGCTCAGATGGACTAATATGCCTTTTAGAAATAATCAAATAAGAGAAGACATTTGACATTCTTATATTTCATAAAAGGAAATATGTATCTAACTATAGGCTGTCTCACATTTTTCAGAGGAACATTGAAAGATGATGTTGAATTAAAAGGAGAGAGATAGAAAAAGAAGACAGATAGACACTAGTTTACATATTTTTTCCCTGTTCTGACTTCTACTTTATACCAATTGGTATTCTGGAAAAATGAGAGAATAGATCAGAAAATAGTACTGTGGAGGTTGGAGGAGTTCTAAGGTCCCCTTCATTTCGAGGAACATTGATTTTTGAGGAACGAGCTCTTGGGAAGATTTGACTGAAAGTGTATACCAATTGTCATTTTCAGGGAGTGATGGATACAGTAAGGCAGATCCGTGGCAAATAGACAATAATATTTCATATTAATTAGGTTATGTCAAACAGAACTCTGTTTTTCTCTCTGAAATGGCACATTTTTGAATTTTTCATATGGGAGAATGAACCTAAAATTTCTGATGGCAGCATCATTCAACATTTTATCTAGTTTTTTGTTTTTTGTTTTTTTTTTTTGAGACAGAGTCTCACTCTGTTGCCCAGGCTAGAGTGAGTGCTGTGGCGTCAGCCTAGCTCACAGCAACCTCAAACTCCTGGGCTCAAGCGATCCTCCTGCCTCAGCCTCCCGAGTAGCTGGGACTGCAGGCATGCGCCACCATGCCCGGCTAATTTTTAGTTGTCCAATTAATTTCTTTCTAATTTTAGTAGAGACGGGGTCTCACTCTTGCTCAGGCTGGTCTCGAACTCCTGAGCTCAAACAATCCGCCCGCCTAGGCCTCCCAGAGTGCTAGGATTACAGGTGTGAGCCACCGCGCCCGGCCTACATTTTATCTAGTTTTAAAAACGTTTGCAGCATTAGATAGCTTTAATATACTGTCTCAAAATATGTGCTAAACAAAAGTTTGATGAGCTAAAGGGTACTCATGCAGTCTCTGGGCAATTAATAACTATAAAAAATACTTTCCTGAAAGTTAGGAATCTCATGTTTTAGAAAAAAGTAGTAAGAAAACCTCTCTTCATGTGATTTTATAAACCATACAAAGCTGAGTCTTTGCTGCAGGAACCTAATGGCTGGAACCCACGGGGGACCTGCTGTTAATAAACTCTGACCTAGAGCAGATGTGCTTTGGAGCTCCAGGGCTTGGGAGGTGGAGAGGTAGGGAGATAGAAAACAACATAAAATAATCTATCTCTCCTTTCCATTTCTCCAGTTTTTTTCTTATTCTTTCCCTACACCCCTCCACAAGGAATTTACATGGAACATTTTTTATTTTGTTCATGAAGGCATTACTTCTTTGTTCTGAGGTATTTCTGCTGCTGCCATGGAGTATTGGAGTGAATGTGTTGAGATCAGCAGAATCATACTTAACTATTTTGCCTTTGAAGCAATCTATTTAGATAAATGTAAGGAAATCTTCCCTGCAGTGCTAGAAATAGCTCAGAGCTGCTGTCACCCTTAGGGTTTTCTGTACCAGGTTCTTTCCCATCGCAGGTGAGTGACCTAAAGCTGACCCTGGAGAAAGCTGCTTCTTACAGGTACCTGGAGTGCCGCAATATCTTCTTCTCTTCCCTTAAGGCAATTTAGTTTACCTCATTCATTTTTAGCATCGCCTTTACCACAATATCTATTCCAGAAAGGCTTCTCTTATCAACATTTTATAGAGACTCTCGCTTTGCACAGTGTTGTTCTGTGCATCAACCCATGTCTTAATGACCTCTGTTTTTGTCATATGGTTGTAATTCACAAAATCTGTCATCATTTGCTGCCAGTTCTTTCACCCACTGTTTATTTTAGCCTCCTGCAACTTTCTAAGTTTTTGCTATTGTTGCATAGCTGTGCAGTCTGTGTCACCTTACATATAGGCCTGATCTGTTGTGTCAGTTGTTTTTGTTTTGTAATTCTTATATGCAACAGAGAAAGCTCTCTGGTCCAGGTGCTTCTATAAGCAAAGCTCCTGTAACCCGCACAGCATTCCTGTGGTTTGCTCTTTTTAGAAAGTTTTTTTTTGTTTTTGTTTGTTTATTTGTTTTGGAGACAGGGTCTTGCTCTGCCACCCCAGCTAGAATGCAGTGGCATCATCATAGCTCACAGAAACCTCAAACTCTTGGGCTCAGGTGATCCTCCTGCCTCACCTCTTCAGTAGCTGGGACTACAGGCGCATGGCAACATGCTTGGCGAATTTTGTTTTTCTGTTTTTTGTAGAGATGGGGTCTCACTATTGCTCAGGCTGGTCTTGAACTCTTGGCCTCAAGCAGTCCCCCTGCCTCGGCCTCCCAGGTGCTAAGATAACAGGCGAGAGCCACTGTGCCTGGCTTGGAAGTTTTAAGATTTCATTTTTTTAAAAGTCTGGGTCAACATACATTAATACACCCTTGTTCCCATATAAATGCATTATATATATTTATCTACATTAAAACTCATTTGATTTTTTTTATTGTTGCCTATATTTCTAACTGAATTAAATCCGTTTTACTTCATTTTTGTAATTTCACTCAGGCTCACAACCCAGATATCAGTTAAACTATTTCTTTTGTGGATGTATTTACGTTATTATATATAATATA